ATTTCCAAAGCACAGCTACATGTCAGAATATATGTTACAACTCAGGCAGAGGAAAATATGATCCTGTAACTAACTACCCATCTAACATTGCTGGGCAATGGTGGTATGAATTTCCTCAGTTCAGATCTCAAAACACAGGTATAACAGGATGGTAAAATGGAAGCAGAGATAGTGTCTCTGAAGATCCCATAAAAGCATGCCACGTCCACTCAGAAGCAAACCAAGAAGGAAAGAGAGAGGGATGGTCTAGATCTCCATATCGGCACACCAAACCCAGAGAACTATGTCCTTGCACAGAGTTGCTAAGGTACAGCGAGGACTGTAGGTCCAACAACAGTTCAAGACACAATGCCCCCTCACTGGAGCACACCGCGAGAGAGGACAATACTGGAGACACACGGCAGGGAGTTTGTCTGGTCTGAACACCTCACAGTGGGGCGAACCAAGAAGGGAACTAAATAGATCTGCAATGGTAGCAAAGCAAAGCAACAAAACCCCTGAGGAGCCCCCCAAATAGACTTCAGACTAGGAAGGGGCAGCTCCAGGAATTCCCCTAGGATCAGAGATAGTCATAAAGGTCAGTGGGCAGACTTGGAATTATGTATTCTTGTTTGTTTGCTAGTTTTTTTTCTCTTTTGACTCAGTCTTTTGTTTTCTTTTTGTTTAATCTCTGTTATTGTTGGTTTGCCTACTTACATAAGATAGACATAGAAAGGAAGGCTGAGACAAAAGCAATGGGACCAATGGTTCTGGAGGGACTTTGAGGGGGAAGGAGGCAGGAGAAGGGAGTGGTGAGCAAACAGTGCCATAGACAGGGGAATAACTAGGAAATTAAAATCAACGAGGAGGACATAGAGATCTGGGGATGTTGGAGCAACAGTAATCTAGCTGAGAGGAATTACTAAGAGGTGGAAGAAGGGCGAGCATGATGGTGGGGCAGGAGGTAGGTGAAAGGAAACAGGAAAGATCTAGGAAGCAAAGCTATGGATAGTGGTATAAGCATAGATGTGAATTATGTAAATATATTAATTCACAAAAATAGAGATATTGGCCTATGTACATATAAGGCAATACACTGAGGTAGTGATGGGCTTCAGGTCTCTGCTCAAGCCCTGTTTCAATGCAAGCACACGTTGCTCCAACAACCAGGAATTCTGTGATGCTCACCACCTTGGGACAATCGCTGAAGACAAAATGAGTGCATAAGCAAATGTGGTGAAGAAAGCTAATGTTGCCCAGCTAACAAAAGATACAGCATCTGGAGTCTTCAAGGCTTGAAGTTAAACAATTGGCCATCTAGCAGAGAAGCAACAAGCCCACATGGAAGAAGCACACCTGTCTACGTGATCAGGAGGTGTCAAGATCGGGTAACAGGCATCAGAAGACCCAAACAAACAAATAAATAAACAAACAAACAAACCTAAAACCTTATATTGTTGAGAATAAGGAGGGCCAGAGCAGAGACCCCAAATACATCTGTATACTATGGGACATCCCCTCACAGAAAGGTCACAAGGAAGGGATGGGTCAATCAGGGCACAGTATAGCACCAGCGAAACACGCAACATTTCTCTGGTTCCTTGAGGCTTCTATCATGACTATCATGGCCCCAGCCCTGCCTTTCAGTGTGGGCTAGACCGGAGCATATGCACAGGTACAGATAAGAGATAGGAGCTCATGACTCATGGAATCCAGGAACAAGAATGGGAGTAGCAATATCAGGATGTCAGGTGGAAGGTGGAAAGAGGAGGGGAGGAAGAGGGAACTCGTCACAATGAATGAATAACCTCCCCCACTCCCATCCCATGGGGGAAGGGACACAGCGGTCGGGGTAAGATATGAAAACAATAATTTATAATTTATCAAGGGGTCATGAATGTGGGGGGGGAGGGAAAAAGAGAAGCTGATACTACGGGCCCAACAGGAAAGTAAATGTTTAGAAAATAATGGTGGCAACATATGTAAACATATGCTTGATACAAGTGATGCATAGATTGTTATAAGAGCTGTAAGATCCTCCAATAAAATGATCTTTTAATAAAAAAATAATAAAATACACCATTTAAAGGTAAAAAAAAGAAAGAAAAATGTTCTAAAATGGATTGTGGTGATGATTGTACAACTCTTCTTGATATGATTGAACTACTGAATTGTATGATATGTAAATTATATGCCAATAAAACTGTTCAAAAATAAACTTGACTTTAAAAAAACAAAGGGGCCCCGTTGGGAAACTGATCTTTGAGCACTGGCCAAGGAGAGAGGTTGTGGGTATCAGATTCCCAAGCTCTTGCCCTTCTGCTCCGTCCCGCGCCTGACACTTGCCCACCCTCAAGCATCCGTCTTATCCTGGGATCGGAAACCACAATCAGAGCATCCAAGAAGGATGAGATGGAGAGAGAAAAATAGTAGAAGAAATACTACCCCATCCACCATTTCCAATGCACGAAGCCAATTTTCTCAATAGCCCTGGCTAAGAACAGACTGCAGGTTAGGGATGTACTCTGTTAATACACGTTCAGAATTCAAAGGACTGAGTCAACACATGAAGTGGCAAAGTTGACCCTGGATTCTGTCTAACTCTGGTTTTAATATCTGTATATGTTTCCTTTCTTGAAATAGCACACATTTAGTGACTTTAACAGGTCACATATTTATTATCTCATATTTCTGAAGTTCAGAAAGCCCTACAAAGCTGTTACAAATGAAAATCACGGTACTAGCAGAGCTGTGTCTCTTCTGGAAGGAAGGCTCTCAGAAAGCTTATGTTTCTCTGCTTTTCACTGGTTTCTAAAGGGTGCTTACATTCTTTGCTTCAAGGTCCCTTGCTGCATCTTCAAAGTGTATCAATCCAAGCTCTGCTTCCTTTGAAGCATCTACTTTGTCTGCCTTTGACCCTCCATCCTTCCTCTTCTAAAGGCTCTTCTGGGAATAATAGATGCACTGGATAATTGAGAACAATCTCCTTGGCTCAAGATCATTCATTTCACCACCTATTCAAAGTCCTCCTTGCTAGTTAACATGTATGAGCTATCAATGAAATTGAATATTTCATAGAAAATGGAACACAGAGATTTGTATCCCCCCTCACTGTTGTGTATGTACTGGACTCCCAACCACAAGGTTGGTGATTCAAACCCAACTGGCTGCTCTGAGACAGGAAGACGAGGCTTGAGGCTGTCTGTTCCCTTAGGATTTACAGCCGCAGGAACCCAAAGGGACGGTTGTACTCCATCCTACGGTGTTGCTATGAATTGGAATCCACTTGACAGCAGTGGCTATGAGTCAGAATCTATGCCCAGGCAGTGGATTTTGGGTTATAGATATAAAGAAATTAGCATTTTGGCAGATTCTCTTCTTGGCTTTTCCCCACAGGCTCTGGACATTAGAACATGGATATCTATGGAAGGCATTATTCGGTCTTCCGCAGCTTCTGCCTTTCTCCAATTACCCGGCAATCGAGGCACTTCTTGTGTTGAACCATAGTTTCCCAGCAGCCTCTGAGTAAGACACCTATGATACCAGCCAGATCTCGGCTCAGAGAAGTGACTGCTTTGACAGTTGTATGCAGACTGCTCTTTGAGAGTGTGCAAATGGCCTTATACGGTTCTCAGTGCAGTGGCTTAAGCAGGTTATACTTGTGTACAGACCACACATCTCGTTTCCCTTTAGAGCATCCATCTTTAGTGAAACAGGTTGCGTTTAGATCCAGGCTGTGCCATCCGCTAGCCGTCTCGCTCAAAGCAAGCTGCTTGCTTTGTCTTGTTCAGGTCCGGTTGCCATCCCTGTCCCACCTGTCTCAGGCCCCATCAAGAGATCCTCAGTGTGAGAGCTGAGGGTATCCAGAGTCCTTTAAAGGGTGTACTACATGCCTCCCTGGCACCTGATATATTTACAAGAACAGATACACTGACAGTAAACTTCATCACTACCACCACTGATGTCTATTGTAGTAATCCCCCCTGGTGGTGGCCCATGTCAACCACAGGCGGTTCCATTAGGAACTGTCTGTAACGTTTTCAAAGGCTCATTTTTCAGATGTAGATATCTCCTCCTGAGACATCTCTGAGTGGGCTTGAACTTGCAACCTTTCACTGAACAGCCAAACCCATGGACTATTTGTATCACATCGACACTTGAGTATTTTAAAATCCCCATGGCTGGTGAGTGGATTCCCATTCGTAGTTCCCTGAAGGCAGATTAGAACTGCTCCCTCGGGTTTCTGAGCCTGTGAGTCTTGATGGAAGGCACTTCCTCCTCTTCCTCCCAGAGAGTGGCTGGGGGATTCCAACTGTTGGTGCTGTGGTTAGCAGCTCCGTTCTTAACCCACTTGACCACTGGAGCTCCTTATTTTATATGGGGCTCCTTATTTTATATGTGGGCATATGTGCCATGTGTAAATGTGTTTTATTGACTGGTTAAAACAGTCACTTCATTAGTAGTCAGCACTTGTCTCATTAACTAGCAGTTATCAAAGGTTAAAGATGCCATTCAAATTTGTGGCACGCTGAAAGTTGTTCCAGGATGACAGTCACACACAGCAACCTCACCAACTGGAAAGTAAAATGGAGCACCCTGGTTGTAAGGAGTTCTTACCTCCTGGGTCAGTCTGTCTGTCTGTCTGTCTGTCTGTCTGTCTGTCTCATGAGCTGGCTCTCACAGCCACACCATTTCACTGTTCATCTTTCACCCCTACAACTCTAGATTTTATTCTGCACATACACAGAGAAATCATTCAAATTTTAATGTACTTTTGTCTTTTCCCTTGTAAAAATTTAAATCCCATTTATCACCAAAAGCATTGTATACCATTCTGCTTGTTTCCCGCAGTTTGAATCTGATCAACTTTACTTGCAATTAACCTTGGTCAAAAATAAAGAGATTCTAATGGGTTGGAAGACAGAAAAGAAGCCGGGCTTTTAGCGTTTCTGCTTTCACTGATCTGAGGGTACATGGAGGTTGCCAAGACACAAAGGAAAGTCCTTGATAAACAGTCTTACCTCCCTCAGGTGAAGTAGAGCTCTCAGGGGAAGCAAGGTTCATTTCACGAATCTCTGGTCCTCAAATGTCCTCTGCCAGCCACGATCTACCTGCCACCAATGCTCCCCTCCTGCTCTGCCTGAAAGTTGGTCTGGACAGTTCCTAAAGGAAACAGTGCAACATTTGACTAAGCTTGCATAACATTTTCATAATCCACACCCATTTGTCCTAAGGAAAAACCTGTTTTCATGATCCTTCTGAATCAGGAAACAGCCAACACAGGGGACTAGGACCGTCTGGCTTCTGCGACAAGCCAGTCTTGCTGCCCCATGGACCTTACAAGATTTTTGTTACTCAAATTTGAGCTAAACCCTGAGATAAAAAAGGTAGTGGGGAAAAAAGATAAACACATCATGCACCTCTGCTCCGGGGAGTGTGCAGCCTTCTGGGAATCACAGAAGCAAAAATATTTAGTATTACTCCTTGGGGGAATTATTCAGGACACGGAGAGAGAGGGGATGACTGACTCTTTGGGGGAAGGCTTCATTCAATAAGGTGCTGATTCCCGAGATGTGTTTTGAAGCATGCGTAGGATTTGGTCTGACAAATGAGGAAAACTAGGGTTGGCGATCTGGGGAGGATATTGATGGCAAATATAAAATCACTCAGAAGAGAGATAAATTTGAAGCATCAGTGACTCAGTAATAAAAATCTCTCCTTCCCTAAAAGAGGTCCAATTTGGATCTCTGGGCAACACACACCCTTACCCTGTCAGAGGAGGGTAGGTTGCATGTTGCTATAATGTTGACTAAGGTTCAGTGGTGCTTCTAGACTTTAATGAAGTAGGAAGAAAGGCCAGGTGATCTATATCTGAAAATCAGCCCATAAAAGCCGTACGGATCCCAATGGTTCAATCTACAACCAGTCATAGGGATGCTGCAGGACTAGGCAACATTTCCATTTATTGGACAGGGGGGCATCATGAGTTGGAGGGGGCAAGTGACTAACAATGACAACATTTGGGGAACTGCAAGAGAAAAGTGTGTATGGTTAAACTATCGAATTAATATTGGAAAGCGAAGGAGAGAGATGAGTATGCAGAAGTAGAAGCCCTGGCAAGTACACGACTTAAGGAGAGAGCCCGGTTGTGGGTTGGCGTGCCATAATGACTCTACACCTCAGTCTTGGAACTTAACTCGTCATTTGTGACTTTACAAGAGAAGTCTGGAGGGGCGGAGTGTATACTTAGTGACGCAGTCTGCTCACAAACAAGGTGGTCTGGCTGATCAATGGCCTAACTGGAGTTGGGCACAGATCACCAATTTTCAATGAACTAGAATAAAGTGCATTTATATTGAAGTCATTCTTAGCGCCCTGGAATCTCCCTTTGATACTCAGGTGGCCTTCCGAGTAGCTCACGATTGCCATCATTTGGAATGACAATTGTCCAAGGAGCAAGGTGCTTGCTAACAAGGTCAGCTGAGGTGGAGGTAAACTCCTGGGTTCTTCTATTAAAAAAAACAACCCAACCCCTCTAACTGCATTTTACAGCATTTTTATACTTCCATGTGCTGTGAAGCCTCCTGACAGATTGAATTTGGGCCAGCATAATAAATGAGGCACTGTGCTAATATTGTTAATACAAATAATGAGAAGAAACCACATTTCCCCACGTGATCTAGCAAACATATGGTCTTGTGGTTGAAACTTGGCACGTTAGTTGTCATAAGAACCCTGAAAGGGAGGTGGAATGAATTGGTAATTTTATCCCTCGGTCAGACCTCCGTCTTTAATATTTCCCTGTTCCCACAGCTAGGCAGGCCCTTGACAGAGCAAGTATTTACTGCTGTTAGCTTTTCTTCTCCCAGTGAAATCACGTTCATGATAGTCATCTATTTGGAATCGGCTTTACAGCTTCATTTAAGTGCCTCCCTCGCCACTGCTTTCCTTTGTCCCTAAAGGCTTGTTGGGTACCCAGGGCGAAGAGAGTTGTTCCTTTGTCTGTTTCTGCACTTAGCATGTACAAGGCGGCATCTCGGAAAGGGGAATTGTATTGCCCAAGTTTAAATGAATGACGACAATGCATGCTTCTAACTCCCTTCTACTCTACCATACTGTCCCCAACACAGGCCCTAACAAGAGAGATGGACACAATCACTAAATTGCAAAGGTGGTCTCTAGGAATTCTTGATTAGTTCAATCGCCCCCAAGTGATTTTAGCAGGTTCTGTGCCCATCTTCCTTAGTGTACCCTAAGGCCGTGGCCAGGTCAGCGCCTTATACAAATTGACTTGTTCCTTTCCATCTTGACTTTGGCCTCTCTTGTCCTCATCTACAAGCTTTGGTGGGGCTCGGGTTAGGCATTGGGCTGCTAACTGCAATGTCAAACCCACCAGCTACTCCATGGGGGAAAGGTGAGGTTATCTGCTCCCACTGAGGTTTACATTCTCAGACACCCAGGAGCAGAAATGGGTTCAATGGCAGAATTTGGGTTTGGACTCATCCAGTTTACCCAGGTTTTGTCTGCTGCCTTGATGGGGAGTCTGCTACTCTGCCTCGCAACCTAAAGCTGCACATCAGTGTGGGTCCCTGCCTCTCCTGGATTTCTATTTCCTCTGAAACTTGGTCCTGCTGTCTAGATAGCTTCTCTGAAGACTGTAACCTGCAGACCATGAAACAAGTGATGTCTAAATCTTAGGGCTGATCAAGCCTCTGCCCTGTATCCCAAGATTTTAGTTATTTGTTATAGAGAATTAGGTACCAAGATATATAGGCATAAAGCTAACTAGCCCAGAGAACATAAGCGGGGACAAGGGTCTTTCTTTCTATACCAATGAAGTGTACAGCCGAATCCTAACTGCATCTAATTCCTGCTGGCTGAGCCAGAGCCAAATAGGACATTTATTAAGCTAGGACCAATATGGGCATCTGGGGGGCAGGGCAGGTCAAAAGGGTTGCTTACTTATCTTTGGTGGTGGTGGAAAAATCGAAATCCTATTCAGGAGGAAGTCAAGGTCATTTCTAATAATATAATGCTCTATGACAAGTCTAAGAAACAAGGAGTTTTTTTTCAAGTCTAAGGTCTTGAGCATTGTGGGGATCAATGTCTTGGTAGAGGTGGGCTTGGCAGGAGATGCTTAAGCAATAAATTGTAACTTGCTTTGGGCTTGAGGATTAGTTATAGGATGTGGTTATGATTTGAACCAAACTAAAACCTACTGCTGTTGAGTCAATGCACAGTGATCCAATTGGACAGAGAAGAACTGCCCCATAGAGGTTCCAATGTTCTCATCTTTATAGGGTGCCATAGCTTTCTCCCATGCAATGGCTGAGGGGTTAGCAGCTGAGTGCTTTAAACACCACCTAACCAGGGCCCCTTGCAGTTATGCCTAAAGGAGATGCAAATTAGTCACCAGATAGTGAACAATCATCCACCCACTGTCCTTGGTGAATTCCAGCTCAGAGCCACCCTACTGGGGAGGACAGAACTGCATCTTTGGGTTTCCAAGACTTTAAATCTTTATGGGAGATAGTTAATGTTTATTGCGCCAACCTGGCCAATGAACACATGTGGGGTTAATTGAAGGGCAGAGAGATAAATTGCTCAGTGAGCCTTGCCTTTCGAGTTCTCAGGTCTCTTGCTCTCTGATGGTTGGACCAGGGTGCAGCTGCCTTAGCCAGATCCCAGCTGGCAAGGCTCACTTCCTGCAAGACATCCCTGAGGAGAAGCCACATGGACCTACCCTGATACAGCCCTGGGTGCTGGAGCAGCCCTGTGGAGACCCCTGCCAGCACTGAGATGCTTACACGTTCACTGAACCAGCTTTCCTTCTGCAATCAGCGTCATGGCATATGTTTGTTGAGATGGAGGAGGACTTTGTGGATTGGTGTCAGACATATGGGCTAATGTTGGACTTGTGGGCTTGGGCAGCACTGGGTTGGGATGTTTTCTTGATGTGTACTTACCCTATATATAAAACTCTTTCTTATACATAGGAGTTTCTGTGGATTTGTTTCTCTAATGTATTAACACATGGGGGCAGAAAGCCTCATCTTCCCCACTTGGAGTGACTGGTAGTTTCAAACCACTGACTTTGGTTAGAAACTGAATGTCACCTACTATGCCATCAAGGTTCCTTAACCAAATAGATGAATCCATAAATAGTTTCAACAGCCTTGCTTACTGAACGTTCAGAGGACTTGAAGCTCTTGCTGATAATGATCAAGCATTGTCAAAGATTTCTTGCTTGGATCCACAATAAATGCTAATAGAAGGAGCAGTCAAGAGGTCAATGGCGTATATCATTGGGTAAATCTGATGCACAAGGCTTTTTTAAAGTGCTGAAAAGCAAGGGTGTTACTTTGAGGACTAAGGTGGCCCTGACTCAAGTCATAGTGTTATCAATTGCCTCATATATATATGAAAGTTGCACAAGGAAGCAAGAAGACCAATGAGGTCTGATGCATTTGAATTATATGCTGGCAAAGAATATTGAAAGCACTGTGGACTGCCAAATGTACAAACAATTATGTCTTGGAAGAAGTATAGCCGGAATCCGTGGAAGTGAAGATATGTGAGACTTCATTTCATGTACGTCAGACATGTTATCAGGTGAGACCAATCTGGAAAATGACATCATGCTTGGGTAAGTGGAAAGGCAGCAAAAACAGGGAAGCCCTCAAGGAGATGGACTGACGTGGTGGCTGCAGCAACGGGTTCCAACATAACAATGTGGTAGAGATAGCGGAGGACAGAACATTGCTCCCTTCTGTTGACACAGGGTCACTATGAGTTGGAAGCATCTTGATGACATACAACAACAACAAATAGTAATTTGCAGATCAAGAGAGGAAAACAAGTACCAGAAGGAAGAGATGGTAGGTAGTGGCAAGGAAGATGAAACATGGTAACAGAGGGTCTGACTAATAGGCATTGGATTTGTGGATGAACAAGTAGAGATAGATCAGATTGCTGAATCCCTGTACTCACTCTGCACCATCTGTTGCTTATGAGCTAGAGAACAGATTCTAGGTTTAGCTATAGAATCTCCAAAGGGGCCCCTCCCAACGTCA